TCGTGCCACCCTGATTGCCGTCCCTGTATGCCCACACATTCGGTTTGTCTTGCCTTTTTTTAGAGATGCCCCTCTTCTTCGGTCTGCCCTTGCCTCTCTTTCCAACCCGCGGTTCATTTAATCCTACTTGGCCCGGGTGGAGTTTGTTGTACATCAATCTGGTGATCTCGCGCTGTATAGGCTCATCAGCAGCGTTCAATTCTTCCACTAACTGGCTGAACAACAATCTGTGAGGAGGAACATCATCCGAACCATCCTTCTCTGTAACCTCACCGATGTCAAGTGTGCTCCAAAATTGGTGTAAGTATTTTGGAGTTAAAATATCGTTGGCCTCCATTACACGCTTAAGTATACATGCACAAGGGATGGAATGAGTTTGTTTCAGGTAATGATTGCATTCCCAATATACATCATCTTCGAGTTGTTGCATCCTTTCTAATTCATTTTTCAAAAGATCCAAGCAGTGGTGTGAAACATTGCATCTTAATTGGTAGAAAGGGTACTTGTTGTGTTGCCTCCCTATTTTCTGCCTTGATTCTTGCAATTTCTCCCTGTACAGGAATTCAAAAAAATTAATTAAACAACCTAAACACACAAATTAACTAAAAAGGGATCAACAGGCCTGTACCTTATTTGCGTAAGCTGTGTCTCCAGTAACATGTGAACCCTGTGCCACACCGTTTCAAAAGAAGCATTTGGAATGACGAGCCATTCCTTTAACAACTTGTGTGCGCTCTCCACTCTACAGGTAGTGGTGTTGCCAAAATGCAAATAAGTGTTGGTCCATGCACGCACAAACTTGTGCGCCACCACTAACCATGTGTTCCTAACATCCGTATAACGGCCTGAAATTGGATCCAATTATGCTCCGAACCGCACTTTTCTTCGTATGCGTCTCTGGTTTCAGCTTCGATCACCGCTTTGAAGGCATTATACGCGAAACTTTTTTTTGTATGAGCATTTCCATTAAAAAATCTTTTCACATTTCTTTCAACATCCCTGTAAACATGCCACGTACACAATAAGTGATGTGAAGATGGAAATATATCATCAAGAGGCCTCATCAGTCCAGGTTCGCGATCAGTCACGATGACACTCGGATGCATATCTTCGCCATACAAGTTACGGAGCTGCCACAGCGCCCAATGGTAGCTTTCCCCTGTCTCATCACTCAGAATGGCATATGCTATGAGGAATGTCTGATTGCAAGGGGTCATTCCAACAAACTCCACAAGAGGCAGTTTATATTTGTTTGTGTTGTATGTGGAATCTACACAAACAACCCAAGGATACGTCCGCAATAACAACAAAGAATCCGGATGTGCGAAAAGACGTGGGATAACCTCGTGTCTCTTCATCGCACTCCGTGAAGATGATGTATTTGTCTTTGTTCGCGACCTCTAACACCTTTCCCACTACGTCCATGGCAGCATGTGTCATCTAGAATTGGAAACCCCGCCTTACGCAAAAATTTCGTAGTTGTAGACTTGTTTAGCGGTTACATTTTCATCGGAAAATTGTGTCCATATCGCCCGTAAAATGTGGATGCCTTAGTCCCGCATTTGGAGTACTCTTTAATAAGCTCTTTTACTTCGCACTCAATGGCCTCCCGACTCGAGGTGGATCTTTCAATGAATGGTTGTGCATTCCCACGGACTGGATATACACGGATTTGCCACCTATCATACATCTTGTAAGTAGTAATCGAAACTGCATCCGGTCATCCGTGTCTTTGTATTAGCTCGGGCCCGCACGTCTTCATCCACTGTTCACCTTGGTACCGCCCCTTTATGACAAAGGAGTATAGTACTATTACCCTTATGCGAGGATATACTTAACACCATATTGTAGATGTTCGCAATACCCTTCGCATATTCAATAGCTTCCGTGTTCGTTGAGAAAGTCTCGTCTCGTAGCAAAAGCCGCACTATAATCGATTCCATCCCCGATCAAAACTATTCGCACACATACATTAAAAACAAATTATATCATAACTTAAGTTAACTCTAACATTGTTAAACCACAATTAATTTCATATGAGTAAACATTGTTATAGAATCCGATATAATGATCTTTTACTTTAGAGATAATTAATATATACTAATAACTAATTAAAAATATTATTAATCAAAACTCATTATTTTAACAAATATTCTAATCCCTAACAACTATACGCATTAACATACAACCTAAATACCCATTTAACAAGAAACAAAGTATTTCTTACGAGCATATAACGTAATTAACATATAACAGTATACGTAATTAAAAAACATTCTCTAAATATCTAACATAAACCCTAATTTTCTAAACATATATTAAACTACAAAACAAATACTCAAATAAACTAAATACATGAATTAATTAAATTTATTAAACTAATAATAATAATTTTTAAACTAATAAATATTAAATATATTAAAAAATTAAAAAAAAAAAAATTGGTTGGCGCCCGTTTGGGCGCCACCAACACGGCGGTTGGCGAGCATTTGCTCGCCAACCATGATAGAGGTGGCGCCGAATATGGCGCCACCGCCTTCGCCATTGGCGAAGGCTTGCCTCGCCTCCCCTGTAAGGAGAGGCGAGCTTATTGCACGCCATCCCCTTTGGGGATGGCGTGTTTCTTCAGCGCCAGCCGTTAACGGCTGGCGCGTTTATCCCTCGCCAACCCCCCATTTTCCCGAAAAAAAAAAACATACCTCCATTTTCAGGGGCGTATTGGTCTTTCGCGGGCGCTCAAATGAAAAAATAAGGGCGTTCAATAGTTCGACCCTATTTTTAACAAATTAAGGCTGCCGCCATTCTCTCCTGCAGTCCTGCCTGCTTCTACCCAGTTAGCTGCCACTGCAGTGTTATGATTTTTTTACATGGGAACAAAATATTCATTCGTTGAACTCTTTATATTTTTCGTCCCAAAAAAATAATTTAATATGTTACATTAATTTATTTTGATAAACAACAATAATAACTAGTTTGAACAATGCTAACTTAATTTAAAATTGTGTTGCCCAAAGCTGGTTTACATAATAAAGTATTCCTTCCATTTCAAAATGTAGGTCACTTTAGACTCTACACGTAAACTAAGAAGAAAATCATTTAATAATTAATTTGTGTGTTAAATTTCTATTTTATTCATCATTAATTGTTTTAGAATTATAACTAAATACTAGATGAAAAGTGGTTATCATTATTTATTGGGGGCAAAGTTAGAAAGTTAGTCATAATTTGCCTTGAAATCATAAAGTGACCTACATTTTGAAATATTTCTCCAAATTTAAAATGACCTATATTTTGAAATAGAGGGAGTACTTAGCAGTTAGTAGAGCTCCATAAACAGTTAATCTTAATTATTAGACTCTCTTGAAATAATGAACCACGCTTGAGATGATCTATGCCTGGGCATCTAAAATTTACAATTATCTTCGCTTTGAATTCTTTTAATGGTGTTTCCGTATTTCTACAATTTGAATTTTAATCTTCCAATATCCCTTTGCATTATTGAGTTTCGATTGTATCCTCTTTAGTTTTGGGGTCTTTGATGAAGAATGTTCTTGATGTCACATTGTCACCAATACAAAAACTACTTTGGAAAGTACTTGATTAACAAAATATTCTAAAATTATTAGTCGGATTTGTTTTTTCTATTTTACTTTGACAAATATTGTAATATATATTTATTATAATAGTCTTGCGTATATGATTTTGTTATTGTCTATATATACTGTGTATATTGTACGTTACAACACAATGGATATACAATCTCCTATATTGTCTATGATTTTTTTTTCTCTTTTTTTTTAAAGAGATCACCGACTGAGAAATGGAGAATGTATATATGGAGGCCTTGAATCAGAATTAAAAGCTTGATGAATCTTATCCCAATTCCCAACAGCAGCGCATTTTGAATCGAGAATTTGACTTGAGGAATTGTTTCCGGAATCTACGTATTTATGTTGTCATGGTGCGGTATAGTTCTTAGCTAGTATATATGTACGCTGACCGTTTTAATTTATTTGGCTTATCTACAAACTGTTTGACCAAAAATGCAAGTTCATTATATGATGTTTGCGTTTACGTTCTCGTCACTACCTAAAGCAAGTTTTATGTCATTTTTATGAAAAAAAAAAAAACTACTGTACCATCCTCTAGTTTGTTGCTAATTCTTAAATAATATCTTTATTCAATTTTTCGTCTCCGCCTACATAATTTTACGTGGTACAAAAGATTTTTTCTATCCGTTGTTACTCACGAATCACATTTCATGTTTTATGAAACCGTCATATTGTAGTTTTTATCGGACGAGATTAGTTCTTATTACTGAGCTACCATCTTTGATATGGGCAAAAAAACAAAAATAAAACTCACTAAATTCACTAGAAAAGCAAGTCAAACTATTACCACAATTGGTAATTAAGAAACAAATTTAACTAAAGACAACAAAATGGTAGAGTAATTCCAACCCCCAACCCACCCACCCCCGAATCACTCGCTTCTCGTTGATTAAATGACCTAACCTCGAGCATAAAAAAATGTAACCTAGTAAGATTATAATGGTCTATCTAGTCCAGCAAAATTATTACCACTAGTACTAATTAACTTTAGCGTAACTGGTGATGACCGTTCTTTTCTTTGATCCTTTTTCCACACTCAAACACATACATAGTGGGTGCAGGTTTTAGATATAGATCAACTGATAAGGAAAATAAGCCGAATCCAATGAAATTAATCAAAACCCAGGATAACGAAAGGCGTGTAAAAACCCACAAAACCATTTATTTATATATTTTACAAAGCCACTTTAAAAAAGATTAAATTATAGAGAAACATAGAAAAATACAATTCCACCAGTTCTATTTTTAGAACCTAAAAAAGGAGGCCAAAAAAGAAGCTTCAAGGAAGCTTTGCGATGACCACATTCAACATAATTCATCCATGGACCATCAGTCGTCAAATACGACCCCCAAAACTATGACCATAAATCCCATGCATATATATATATATATACATATGATACACACAAGTTCTGCTCCCATGATAGTTCGAGTCATATTCATCATCCATTTCCACATCAGAAAAAGGGCTAAACGTTTAATTTGAACTGTTTTTCTTTGGGGATTAGATTAGTTCTTTCTTATGGAAAACGAAGATAAAGCCCAGAAACCCATCAAGTACAGGGGGATCCGGAGGCGGCCATGGGGGAAATACGCAGCTGAAATACGCGACCCGAATAGAAATGGAGCCCGATTATGGCTCGGAACTTTCGAAACCGCCGAAGAAGCTGCTCGGGCTTATGACCGAGCTGCCTATGCTCTGAGGGGTCATCAAGCCATTCTCAACTTCCCCAACGACGGGCATTACCGAATCAACAATGATTATGCTGCCGGGTCGCTCGGTTCCGGGTCAAGTAGTAGTAGCTACAACCTTTCGGGTCAGTTGCCGGCGTCTTCGTCGATTTCTTCTTCTACGGTTAGCCCCGGAAGAACGGGTCATTTGGAGCTGGAAGAGGATCCGGAGCGGGTTATTGAGATTGAGTATTTGGATAATAAGCTGCTTGATGAGCTTCTGGCTGGTGGTGGAGGCGGGTCGCAGTCTCAGAGGCCTTTGGATATTAACAAAAGGAAAAGGCTTTCTTGATTTTATTATTACTAGGTTTTAGCTTTAATTATTATTTTGGATTCATTTAATCTCGAAAAAAAAAAAGCCGCCTTCTTCTCTTCTTGTGACCTTGTAGGTAGGCTAATAACTTCATTATTTGTGTTTCAAATTTCGTTTTTGGATCCATTTTTCTTACTTGTTTGTAATGTTTTGCCGGTTTATGAAAAAATTGATTCATTCTTTTTCAATTCCATGGTAATAATAGGTTGTGAAGTGATTCTAGGAACTTGCAAATTTCTTCATAAATGAGACTTTCAGGATGTTCCTTATAATATTTCCCTTACAAGTCAATCTATTGTATAGTATTAATTCAACAAAGTAAATAACATTTTATTGGGGATAGAGGAGTAAGTAACATTTTGTGGCCTAATTTGACATAGGGTTTAGGGTTGAGAACTTTTGATGGTAAAGGTTATCATTTAGAATATTGGTCATCTGTAAACTTTTATATATAGTTATTGAAATATAGGGGTTTTGGTAAAAACAAACAAGAAGGCGCTTGTTAGTTTTCTGTGTGTGTTTTGGTACGACAAGAAGGAAATTGAGGATTATCCATTACCTCATCTTTATCTAATAGATGTAACGATGAAGGTTATGAAAATTGCAAACTGTATCATACCTACGGATATATAGATGTTTAAATTGATAGCAGATAGTTTGGCAAGACTTGGTGTAAATTTACGTACAATTACTTTCTCAACTCGTCAGTTCTGGCATATATTGTACTTTCTCAGTCTCAAAATTATTGTACAATTCACTTAAGTGCAGTTTGAGATTTCACTCTAATACTGAATGAGTACTCATATTACTAAAGTGAAATCTCAAATTGCACAATAATTTTGGAACATATGAAGTACTAGCGATATGAACCTCAAATCTTAGAATGAAGTAAGATCTAAGATTTGTGTTTGCTCTAGTCCTCAAAATCATTTATTGCGTTATCTATGAAATCGGAGGAATGTTCATCACATACCCTCATGATTATTAAGTTAATCGCTCTTGTTCATCAATATAGTTCCATATGATTATGTCAGTAGTACGCTTCTTGTACTAACTCTGCACTATGCAGGTAATCAGTTATCATCAAGTAATTATTATCACTGATGAGAACATATGCGATCATTGATTATAGTGAAAAAAGAATAATTCTTACAGATTAGTTTGCTACATATATAGTACATATAATTCGATTTTAACACGTCGAAAACAAAATACGGACCAACCACCTACTGAATCCGAACAAAAGCCTTAAACAACTCATACTAATGCAAGCGCACTAAATATCTCTTACATTGAATTGGCCTGTTTTACATTTCGTCATGAATTTATGCTTTGCTTTTCTAAGTATGTACAAATAATTAATAACAGGAGAGAATCACGCATCTTAGAGCATGTAATCCGTCCAAGCATTTACTACAAATGAGATTTCACATCCACAAATGTATTCACCCTAAACTTTCTTAATCACCCTTCTAGTAATTGTGTTTATTTGACCTAATTAAAAGTCACCAACTATAACTATTAACTATTAATATATTTCTTCCCTCTCAAGATTATTGTATGATTTACATTTTTATTTTTAGTTCAAATTATACTAAAAGTGAAAATTTAAATTGGATAATAACTTAAGAAAAAAAATAGCTATGCCTTCCCATTTACATTATATACAATATTTTAAAGACATGGATCGAACACTCTTACTAACAGTAAATACTCTACAAACATATATTTAGAAAAACCTAGCTAATAATCTCGATGATGATATACAATGGACCATTCAATGATGTAGACAAACAAAATTCTTCGTACATCAAATTAAAGGGGTTGTGGTAGAGTGGTAATTGGTAAGAACTTTTGCACCTTTAACTATAAGTCGATGGTTCGAAACTCGCTATGGGTATAGAGCAACCTTAAAGTCTCTGGCCAGCTTTCCTATCTATCGAGTTGCCCACCATGAGCGAAGGAGATTAGTCAATGCGTCCGACGGTGGACACCATATAATATAAAAAGAAAAAAATTCTTCGTACATCAATAATGTCATAATTTTGAAGGGAGAAAAGGGTTAGTGGGGACTGTTAGTTTATTTTTTTCTATTTCGGTACGCCTCATATGGGAGAGATATCTGGGCCCAACAAATATGATCCGATAAGACTAAATTATTATTAATATAATTGCGGTAGTGATTAATAATTAATACTCCTAATAACAAGGGAAAATTAAAAAATTTACAGCTGCAAGATCCAGTGACATTTTTATTCGGTTTTAGAAGTTTCGATTCTGGTCAGTTTGCTTTAAATATTTGTTATAAGATTTGTCAAGCAAGTAAATAATAGTAATCTAACAACCATCCACTCGGCGAAGTGTTCTGCTTAATGCATCTTCTTTTTTCCCCACCCTCTTTTCACTCATTCCAATATTCTGCCATCCAATTATTCGATTTAATAATTAATTAGGGCAAATTACATGCAGTTCCAACCCTCAGATTGATCCATACAACCAAACTTTAAGCTCTTGGGGAGCTACGAAACCTCCCAATTTGGCCTATGTCATCCCTTTAATCTCTCGGCCCCTGTTTTGACAAGTTATAGTCATGCCTTCTAAAACTAAGACCCGAGAGAGTGATGATCCACAAATTGACAAAGCGGTGATCCAAACTAATGATCTTAGCCAGGCAATTTTTTCAGTAGTTTGGACCGTGTTTCCCGTTGAACTTAAATCAAGTACTAGGTAGATTGTGTCAAAATCGAGAATTTTAGTTTGCACATTAAGGTCGTAATTGTAACAAGAAGTGTTGAATAGTCTTTCCGTCTCATTTTAAAAATTTATTTTTATAAACTATTTAGTTCTACAAATTGGTTGATTAAAACGGGATAGCTCCAGTGTCATTCTATCAAGTTTGGTTCTGCACGAAAATTGAAGTTACATTTTCGTTGAGGCGTTTTGGAAAAGTGAGAAGAAATTGAAAGTGTTGATTTTGTCTCAACCGTGGTGAATTGCTCGGGAACTGCCTAGCAAACAGTTTGGTTATGATATGGTTCCAAAGTCAGGTTTCACACACATTGTATTTATGTTGCGTGCGTAACAAATTAAGAATTTGTATTGGTTGTTCAAGTTTGATCAACCTCGAACTCCAATCTAGCAAGTGAACAAGAGCAAAATGTAAAATCAAAAAATAGAGGATTGGGTTTCCAAAAAAAAAATATTAAGGAATGGAGATCTAATTCGCCCTAGTAACAAACAATGCAATACACGCATTAAACTAGTTTTACTTTGGTTGAGATTATTAATCTGAGGAGCTAAGCAATGGGGGGTTACAACAGTTCGATGAGACTTTTGAAAAGATTTGATATAATTCAACAATATGACATATTTCCCTTTCCGATTAAGTTCTTGTGGTACAACCAGTACCAACTGAATGATACAGTTAATGATTCAAAAAATCGCAATAAACTATCAAAAAATGAGAATTGTGATCCGACAGCACGGACCATTGAATACACAATTCAATCATGAGTTCACCACAAATCCAGTCCTTCCAGATTCATGCTAACAAACATTTCTTCCACAAACACAAACATATGCAGACACAGACGTTTAGTCTGGCTCGATCTATTGGTAGATGAGCTGCAACCAAACAACGGTTGTTACCTGAGTCTTCTTAGAATGGTTTCTTTAATTATGATATATTGATATGCATCGATATCATCAGACTTAACCCAGTTTAGAGTTATCCAGAGCACCGACGTTCTTCGTTTTCCATAAAATCAAAGCAGTATAAATCTGCAAACAATCATCCCCGATGAATAATATAATTAGGACATAATCGTAGTTAGTGATTAGATAATCACTCACAATTAAGAAACCACAAAGGACAAACCATAGCTTTTCACTCGGAGATGTTTTGCATTAGTTGACTGCTGCTGTTCTCTCTTTGACTCTACCTGAGTCATAACAAACCCGCCATCATTTAAAAGCTTCAATCAGCTGTGATAAAAGAAGTAAGCAAATCCAGGTTCAGGAGATTTGCTAGATTTGGAAAGGAAGAGTTTCCATTTATAACCACAAATAACCCAATGCAGCAGGGTTGGGGGCCATCACAAAACCACAAAAAAAAGGGACAAAAAAAACACAGGAAAATATTGTTACAAATTTATGGTGGTTAATAAGTAAAGGCAATATGCATTAATTGCTTCATTCATCAATTACACACGCACACACACACACACGCAGTCATATAGCACTAGATGTATAAAATTCCAATGGTTGAAAATGATATCATCAGTGACTGATCATCATCATCATCATCAGAGAGTGTACTGATCAGTGTCTACTTGTTCCTTCTAGAATTGCCTCCTTGTGGTTCAAAATCAAGAAGATCCTCCAGAACTTGATCATCCAGGTACTCGAATTCGATAACTTCCCGGCCTTGCCTCCCGCCCTGCAGAACGTTGTTGTTGCCGGGGTTTAGTGATGAAGAAGAAGACCCCACTGAGGAAGAGAAACCAGGGTGTTCATGAGGGAAGTTGAGAACCGCCATGGAACCTCGGGTAGCAATGGCGGCTCGGTCATAGGCCCGGGCAGCTTCCTCCGCCGTGTTAAAAGTCCCCAGCCACAGCCGGGCTCCATTGTTTCGGGCGTCGCGGATCTCCGCCGCGTATTTCCCCCAGGGCCGCCGCCTCACTCCTCGGTATCTGATCACTTCGCTGTCTTGTTCTTTTTCCTGATCATCTTTCCCCCTGTTTCTTCCACTTCGATCACCCATCTTTTTTTTCCTTTTCTTTAACCCCTTTTTTTTTTGTTGGTTTTACTGGTACTGAGAAATGACAGCTGAAGAAGATCGATGGAATACTGATATGAGGCTCTACTGACCTGTTTATTGGCCTCATTTGAATATATATATATAAGGGTTGAAAAAGTCAAGATTTTAGAGACATGAGACATTGATTCAATGAACTGGAATTTTCATGTCATGGTCCCCAGTTTTCCTTGTCCATTCAAAAATATAAAGAAATCGGGCCAAAAAAAAAAAAAAAAGTGAACAACAAAGATCAAAATCAACGTGCTAAATATTATATCTATACTACGTTTTAGAGGGGGTTTATAATTAGTAGTGGTAATAGTTATCTGAAGTGGAAGGGGTAGATGTATATTCCATGCATAGGGTTGAATTTTCCCATTTACATTAGGAGTAGTTGCTTAAGGCTGCTTAATTTCATATTTTTATTAATTAAATTTCCCATTTAAATTAGGAGTAGTTTCTTAAGGCTGCTTAATTTTATTACTTCTATTTCCCATTTCTGATGTTAATTTCTTTTCTTTGAACTACCTTTTCTTCCAAACAAAAAAAAACAATAATAATAAATTACATTACTTCACTAGTGATGTCATCTTGTTTGCGTCATCAATAGTCATGGGTTTTCCTTCTTCACCTGAGCGGTTTTCAAATTTTTGTCTTTTATTGTCACACATGATCATATTAAGGATAAACAAATTCGTACTGTATAATATTAGTGCCTTTTGCCTTTCTGGGATTTGGGGGTAAGAAAAAGATGAATTAATCTAGCCACAACTGTTGTTAATTTATTGGTCCGCTATAATTAATCAACTGAAGATTAATCTCAGTGCCTTCCTGTTAACGCTTTCTCATATA